ATTCTATATTTGTATATTAGAATTGCTTCTTTGATCTGTTTTTGTCTTCCTTCTAATTGCAGCCATAGTCTTCAAGAATTCCTATTTCACTTTCTTTTCTTTTTTGACAAAAGAAAATCTATCAAAGTTATAATTAATTAAAATTATCATTCATATGAACCCAGAAAATAACTTTCTAATTGACTCATTCTATTTCCAATTGCTTATTTTATCTTCTAGATTTTAATGATGAACTTATTGGAATCTTAAATATTGCATTAACTTGCTCTATTCTCCAAATATCTACTTACACATCTTTTTATTTAGAATCAAAAAGTGTTGTGTAAAATGGCTTGCAAATATTTCTTATTCAATATTAACAATTTTTAAATGCTAATAAATTTTATAAATATGCATTTATATCTTTTATAGTTAGTATGACTTAAAAGGCAAAAAATATGAAAGATCCTAATAATGATTTTTAATAAATCTCCTACATGATTTTTATATAAGTTGTTTTCTCTTAAATTAATAACATAGTAAATAATATATTATTATAAAATGAATAAAGAGTATAGTCCTCCATTAAAACTAAGATTCAAATGATAAAAATATTGTCTCTGCTAATATATAACTTAGTGAGGGACTGCAAAATACAATTAAATATATATATTAAGATCATGTTTACAAGAAAAATTGTTTTGTTTGAACTTTTGATTTCAACCTGATATTTAAATTATTCAAATTTCAAAGAACCATATACGTTTGAATCAATAAACGAATAATTGGTTTTACATTTTTGCAAATTCTATCAATGATTATTACATATTATTACTCAATATAATAGGAAAATCTCTTTTATCTATTATATGAATAAATTAGAAATCGCACCTTCCATTCAATAAAATATCAATTATATTGTTGATAACATCAAATATTAACTTTATTTTGATGATGAAGCAATTAAAAATAATCTTAAAGGATTATTAGAATTAGCTGATGAAAATAGGACTTAAATAATCTAAAGCTTACAACTTGTTTTTTCTTGAATGTGATAATTAAATAAAAGGATAAATTCATTAATTTGAAGGGTCCCTTTTAGAAAATTTAATATAAATTGAATATTATGTTGCATAAATGACTTAAAATAAATAAATTCAGCATTATTCTCTAGAATACATTTATACAGTCTAATCTCAAGAAATATCAGCTAAATAAGGTAAAGAAAGTTTATTTTAAGTATCAACGTATACTTTTTTGTTTAAATTAATACTCTAAAACATGGATCTCATGCTTATAATTTAAAAGGGTTTATTAAAATCTAATCAGTGTGAAGGATAAAATAATCAATAAAAATGAGTTGATTTAATTTGTTTCTTTGGCTGACAATTTTAATGAAAATTTAGAAATTTTCTATTTTTGGATGTAAGTCATATTGAAATCTTTAAAATCAAAGAAACCATCTTGATTTTTGAAAATAAATTAAGCAAATCTTAAACGAAGAAAAATGCATTCGAAAGTGCTATTAAATGTTTGAATTCTAAAGAGATATCTTAAAAGAAAAATACTTTATTATAGTAATTTTGAGGATGAGGATTTTAAAGAAGAGTGCCATAAATAAGAAGCTTAAGATAAATAATTTATTTAAAAGGTAGATTAATTTAAATCCTCAAATACAGAATAATTAAAAGAATTTGCAGAAATTTCAAATAATTAATTATTTATCAACTTGAATCATTATCAAGTCATTCATAAGATTTGATAAAAGAATTTATTAAATTCTTAACATTATTCGAATAACGATTAAAAGTTTAAGCTAAATAATCTTATTTGCTGCCTTGCATAAAAGGATCATCAGAGTAAAATATAAAGAAAAATAATGATAAAAGTTATGAAGAATTACACATTGTTTATTTCATAACTTTTGCTGTCCTTCCTAAGTTTCAATTTTTTAGACCAGAAGATCTTATATATATAATATATATAATAATATTATTTTATTGTTTATTCTTATATTTGGAAATTAAAAAGAGACTAGTTTTTAATCTTTGAGGCATTTAGATTTCAAAAGAGAAAACTTTAAAAATGAAATTAATGAGGTTAGTAATTTCTT